TCAAGAGAAATCTTTGAGAAAATATTAAACTTTAACTCAAATTTTTTGAACCAAAATTGAACCCTTCTCTCTATTCTCTTTCTATCGTTGATTTGCTGGAAGGATTCCCCGCCAAAACTTCCTCCTCCATCTCTCATGGCACTCCTCTGCCACTTCTCCCTTCAGAGGTTCCGACACCGCTGACCACTCCTCCCTTCACAACCATATAGGGTTTGATGGACCCAATTCGAATACATTGAAGAAGATGATGGGTATGAGTTTTACCCAAAATCGATAAAACTTGAAGAGGAGATGATTAAAGAAAATGATTACATTTTGGAGAGAAAATGATTAAAACTTAGAAGGATGACCTTGAAGAAGAAGATGGATGACAAGACTTCAGCGAGCGACTGGCGTCTTTGAAATTTTGAAATCAATAAAACTTGAAGAGGGAAAAAAACTTAAAAAAAATAGCTTTTAAGATAATATAGGAATTTTTTTAAAAAGATCATAGAATGAAATTGAGTTTTTCAATTGGATGAGTTAATTTCAAATCAAACTTTTGACTCATCTTGACTTTATAAACTGAGGATGTAACAAGGAACATTTGTGATGAGTTTTTTATGCAAAAATTGATTCTGGGGGCCACCGTGTGTGGTATGTGGAGGTGTCAACTCATTTAAGATGAGTTTTTAGGGATATAATTTGAGAAATATAGTATTACTGTTAATTTTATACTAATTTTAGTCCATACCATGTCATATACTTTCCAAAATAAAAAAAATATTGCAAATTTAAAAAGGGAGCTAGTTAAGAAGATGTTGTCAACAAGTAGATTGATGATCCATCAAGATCATTTTGACCTAATCTACCACTAAAACCCAAGTTTTGAATAATCATAAAATAACCTAAATTGGTGTGTGTGTGTGTGTGTGTGTGTTTTTCTCTACAGGGTGTTCAGATTTGTACCGATTGTTTTCTCGAATTTGGATATTAGTCACCGTAACTCAAACAAATTTAAAACATGATCCATGAGAAAGAAGGGTGATAGATTCTTAGGGAGTATGAAAAATATTGACAACCTACCAACACTTCAAGACCAAAAATACTTAACATATCCCTGAATAAAGTTTCTAACCATTTTCAATGATGTGTTGCCCATTGTATATACATAAGAGAGATACATATAACATGAATTTTACATAAATTCATAATGGCAAGGAACCTACAAATATATAATGACACAATAGTCGGGTTGTTATATTGAATAGTTGTTGCAATAACGGAAATTTTGCGAATTGAACTATTCTTTTTTTTATATGAGTTCATGATGGTAGTGAACTAAGTATAAATATTGGACTCGTTATAACTACACGACATGTGATCTACCCTAAAAAAATATATATATATATATATACGAGAAGAATTCAAATTGTATAATTCTAAAAATGTATAAAGAACAAGTCCGGCATTCAGACATGGAGCCATTGAGGTAATCAATCAAAACACGATATAAGTAAAGCAACACCAACATATATAGTGTTGGTTCATTGTTTGTCACTATTTTTCTGGTATTTTACTTTGGACCACAAAGAACAAGACGTACAAAAGCAAGCACCCAATCATGTAAGTATTAGTTTAGGAAATTGATTATATTATGATCTTATCTCTTGGACTAAAAAAACACCTCGTTCATATCCGATTCATTTATTCATTTGTGTTTAACAAGTCGTGTTATATCGGACTCGTGTCGTCTATCAATCATGTATTACCGATATATAAACAAATCATGTCGTATATTTCTTTTGCTTGATTTTATACATACCCGATTCGTTTAGTAATCGTGTTATGTCAAATATAACATTTATAAAACGGATGACTTAAAGAAGATTAAAACTCTCTAATTTCATGTTATGTTTGTATCGTGTTAACGAATCGTGTCAAATTTTAACAAGAGTAACTAATAGGTCATTGTTTGTCACTATTTTTCTGGGATTTACTTTTAACCACAAAGAACACGACGTACCAAAGCAACCACCCAATCATCTGAGTATTAGTTTAGGAAATTGATTATACTATGATCTTATCTCTTTGACTAAAAAACTGTCCGGAGGGAAGAAATAGCTCAAAACCTGTTTGACTGGAGTCAAACTTGTGACATCATATGGATGTAAACTTGTATTCTTGTTCATCGAGATATTCTCCATTATAATTTCTCTTAATTTTCTTTAAAATTAGGTTATTTATTCTGGGATAAATAACATTTTTAATCTCTAAAGTGTGTTCATGTTATCAGTTTAGTTCTTATTGTATTAATTTTATCAATTTGATTCATAAAATTTTAATTCGTGTCATTTTGGTCTAGAATCAGACAATTCATTTAGTTTTTTTAACATAAGTGGTCAGGTGTTATTTTTTCAGACAATATCATTTATCTAACACAAATTGAATACTTTAGGGACCGTCATTTTTTCAGACGGTATCATTCCGTCAAAAACTTAACGTGATTCCGTAAAAAACGTAACGGTCCGTCTATGTAGAGATCGTTTAAACAAAAAATTGAATACTTTGGAGACCAATTGATATTTTAAAGATCAATCTGACAAAATGTACGTATTTTAGAGACCAAAAATACCATTAACCTTTTATTGTTTATTGGTGGATTTCAAGTTTTATATAATAAGTTTCAATCAAATTTATGGCGAGAAATTATTTTTTTTTTAGAAATTCTAAAAAAAAAAATAAGAAGAATTATAAAGACCCAAATTCTTATTCAAATGAGAGTCATCTTCCTTTAATTTTTGGGGGGAAGATGAGGTTATCTAAGAAATATCGAAATCTTTTTAGAGTACTTGACTAGTCTTATCAGATGTAGGCAATTTTCTAATATATGTTAGTCTATAACAGGATAAAATATTATAGATGATTAATCTAATGTACTTCTTAAACTTACTACACTATTATATTACATGTACTTGTATGTATGAGCACAGCATAGTGTAGAATGCTTTGAAAGACATCACTACAATTGGAAGAGTTAGGGAGCTATGCGTGCGACCTTTTAAAATTGCACCATTTTGCCAATTTCACCAACTTTGAATTACTAATAATTTCGGGGTCAAAGTATAATAAGATATAATTCGACCGACAATTGAAAATCAACCGGCATCAATGGATATCCCTCGTTTGTTCACATTATATCTGTGTTGGGAAAGCCGGCAAGGTATTATTTTTGGAAGTCGAGCCAGATGCTGATGTGCTCTGCAGCGTAATGTTAACAGTGACACCTCTAATACTTAATTCTAAAAACGACACCCAGCACGTAAGTCTCCAATAATAATCTTTAGTTACTGTGCGTGATAAATGATAATTATTCTTACTTTTTTATGAAAATACTTAGACTTAAGACTCAAAACCCATTACGTTTTACCTGGAGAGAAGAACATTTGTTTTACGTCTTTAGTAATAGTATCATCTTTCTTTTAAGGCCATTAGAAACACAAGGAGATATCGGTGAATTTGAGTTTAGAAGTCGGGCCTCTCCAAATTGAGGGTGAGAACCTATTCCAAAACACGAATGGGAGTTTCGATCATGTTTGGTTTCTATCTGATTTTTTTTTTTTTTTTCAAACATAGTTTTTAGAATAAAAGTTGTTTGGTCAGCAATTTTTTGTTTTTTTGAAATTTGAGAACAAAAAATGGATAAATTTAAAAAATAAGTTACTACTGGTTTTGTGTGTTTTTAAAAACAATATTTTCAGAAGTTAAAAAACACCACGACGACGACAACATCCATCACATTTTTGTTTTTATTGTTTTTTAGGTTATTATTCAAACAAGTTTTACTGTTTTTTATTCTTTTAAATTATTTTTAGAATTATATAACCAAACAAGTTTTGTGATATAAAAAACACAAAAACACACAATTTTCTAAGACTATTCTGAAAAAAATAATTTTTAGATACTATTTTTTTAGAAACAAACTAAAAAGATCATTTTCTCGACCACAAATTCATCAAGCTGCAATACAAGTTAACAACTGCATAAAAACTTTTTCACCCATGCAAGCGTGAATGCAACAAGCAATTTTAAGCATCATAGAAAGTGTAACTTTACAGCCTGAGCACTGACATTAAAAGAGATTTCACACAATACAAGAGCAAGACATCAAAAGGAAAGAAACAGATATTCGACAGCTACTTAATCATTTGACTAATTCACCTTTATTAGGCTTCGGGTCACAGATTGACAATTCATCGGCTGCCCTTTCTTTCTATTTGGCTTCTTGTAATTTTGCTCAGGGGTGCAATTCGAGCGGATTGAGATGTCAATTCTAGCCCAACTCTAGATATATAATCTTCAATTATAATCTTACCTCAACTCCAGTTTAATTCGGACGAGTTCAAGCTGAATTCAACTTATTTAATTCGGACTGATTTTACGTTAAAAAACGGATTGACTTAAGTTATTTAATTCGGGTTAATTTTTTGAAGTGTAAATCTGATTTTTTCAAATGATCTGAGATGAAAGGTGAGAGACAGATGAAGAGAGAGAGAAGTGAGAGAAGGACGAATGACGAGTGCTAAGATGACTCCGACGAGTGACAATTGAAAGAAGGAGACTAAGAGAGGAAGGAGTGACGAATGAGAGAAGGATTTGAGAGTGATGGAGCCACAAGGGTAAAAACTTGAATTGAAGTAAAAATTTTGATTCTGAAGAGTGAAGATAAATACTAACTCTAGTTAAATATATTTATATATCTATGTATATTCGAGTTAAACCCAATTTAATAATCAAGTTTCATCCTATTTTAATATTCGGGTTGAATCCTACAACCCGATATCTCAACCCGAAGCTTGACCAAATTCAATTCAGGTTAAAATTTGTTTGCCCAGGCCTAATTCAAATATTACAAATTCTAATCAAAGCCCTATTTTTTTGGGTTGAGTTCGGATTAAATTCTAGTTAGTCCGCCCAAGTCGTACTCCTAATTCTACCATCCAAGAACAACAACTCAAAGACATGAATACGAGAACATTTTCTCCCAGCAAATCAATAGGGACTTCAAAAAAATACACCACGAAATGGGAGAGAGAGAGACATCAAAATTGGTTTTTGCAACAATGTGTTTCATACAGGAAATAAGAGAACCATAAAATTATCACTCATGGCACTGCTCTTAAAAGTTTTGCTGTGTTCCGGCATCAACTCTGAAAACCCAAGGCCAGCAATGGAACAAATTGGTACTGTGTGCCATCTCTAAGCCTTCCACGATGCCTGATTGCAGGAGAGGTAAAAAATTATTCAAAATTTGCTCATATCTCATGTTAGTGGTTGACAATCAAAACTAAACATGCTCCGGGAGAATCAATGATTGTCAACACAGACAAGAACTTCTACATCATTACAAAGCATAACATGGTTCATGAAGTACAAGGCCATATATATAACCTGAGCAGTAAGCTTTGGTTCATCTTTGTAAAGTAAAGTCGGGAACCAAAGGCAGGAAAAGTAAGAGGTATTTGCATAATCTGTTGAGCAAAGTTAAACCACACAGCGAAGCCAGGGGAAATAAATTAATCCTGTGCAGTAGGTGCATTGTTCACATGATGATTGAGGCAGGGTTTTCCATCAGGTAACTGATAACTAAGAACAACAAACCAAGTTTAAAAAGTCTCATTTGTAATTTCTCAACTCTCTTCAGGACTTTTAAAAAGATGGTGAATCATGCTAATGAGGAGAACACAATAAATTATCCTATATTTGGTTATTAGCTACCATCAAGCTTCCACAAAGCTTGACAACTTAACTCTGAGTCCAACAATTGACAAAAAGTACACGACTGTGTTAAAAAGGGGGGCAATATTGAATGCAGATACAACAGTGCCCACCCCAAGTTCTTCAATAAGCTCATTTCAATAGTACAATATTACAATAATCACTATCACTAATGGAATGAGAATGTCATTCTGGCTCCAATTTCATAAATTCCAATTCTAACCATAAGATACCCTGCACATCAAAGGAAAACTGTGAACATATACCTGTATGAATAGCCCCAGCTAGTATATCTCGTCATCAGGGATGTCTGGTGTCAAGAATTTCCTAGGATCTTTGCTAATTTCCTCGTAATTCAGTGTTGCTTTCACCCTTTCTGGCACAGGCATAAGCGGAATGATGCTATCCCTATCGATAACCCCATCAATTATCCCGTATTCAACTGCTTCTATAGGAGACATGTAACGATCTCTATCAATATCTTTCTGAACTTGTTCAAATGGGCGACCAGTGGCATTCGCTATGATTTGTGTGACACTATTCTTGTTGTGCATAACTTCGCGGGCTTGGATTTCCACATCTATTGCTTGCCCACTGGCACCTCCAAGTGGTTGGTGTATCATAATTCGTGTGTTGGGCATTGCAAAGCGCTTGCCTTTGGTGCCACCACCAAGGATTATGGAAGTTGTTGATGCTGATATTCCAAGGGCAATTGTGGAGACATCAGCCCTCACAAGCTGCACAACATCATAGATAGCCATTGTAGCGCTGGTAAACGACAATGGCCAAAGTAAATTAGCAAAAAGGAGAAAAAAAAGTAGAAACAAGATTAAGCTCAAGTAGACCCCAGACTTAGTTTTAGAGGTTGGAAAAGGGCTTCCCAAAAGATTGGATCCCAACCCACGATTGCCACACTCTGACTCCCCTACTCCAAACTCGAATTTTAACTTTGGATGGTCAAGAGATAAGAAAAAACCTCACATATGTTATCTTTGTCAACGGCGATTACACCTAAAGATAAGGCGAAGGGAAGACTACCAAATTTGTAAGAAGTCTGAGAGTTCTAGCCATCATAGGTCTTTGATGTTGAATCAGACATCTAGACTGACTTTCTCTAATTTCCAATTCCTTTTCGGAATGAACTTAATTTCAAAAAGTACAAAAAAGGGTAATACTACCATCATATTCACATGCATGAAAAAATTAAAAGAGTCCAATGAATACAACATTAAGCATCCTGAAAATTGCTTAGTATTTATATGGCAAAAAAGATGACCATTATCTCTGTGCAAATCCTAAGTTGTCATGTAGTAGATGCCCATTGCTTAACTGCTTCCTCTTCAGAAATTGGTTTTCTATATAGTCTCTTATTCCTCCAACTACACTACATCTAATCTAACGCATCCATTAACTTATTGTTATAACCCCATATGTGTCTCCTTAATGCCTGACAGCAGACAACTCACAACATAGGTGTTTCGCCAATGTCGACTTAATTCATCTATTACCAAAGGTATACATTAAGTGATCCCTTACAATAGTTGGTGTAAGAATCTGGTGATACAGGCCCTATCGTGTAAGTCGTCTTATCATTTGACTCCAAGCATAAGTCCATCATGCAAGTCTTTGATCAAGTTCAGACGTCTATCTTGTCTGCGACTCTCTTCTACAAGGCCACTAAATTATCCAACCGCCTAAGGGCCCTCCAGGTGTTTTTTTCTCTCATGTGAAGACCATATGAAAGGTTATCAAAGCAAATAACTCTCCTGGACAATATGTCAAGCATAAATTAAAACTCAATTCCCAATATTCGTGCATAAAGTTAGCCTTTTCTAAACCACTATTATATTTTTTTCTATTTCTTCCTCATTAATTATATCAATCTAACACAACAACATAGTCCATTACAAAAAGCCACCACTGCCCACAAAATCTTGCACTCCCCAATTGCAATAGAATCATGCCCTTCATTCTCCTTTTCTTTCCTTTCAATTCAAAATAGCTTAGTTTCAGGCACACTACAATCCCAAATAAGCACAACTCTTATCTTGCTACAATAAATCAGTCCTTCCAACTTAATTCGCCAATCAACTTTTCCCCAAATGTTGTTTCCAAACCTTTGATACAATAAACATACGGAATTGAACTAAAACTAATTTATAGTTCATATATAAGTTCATACCTCAAAGACCCACCAGGAGAATTGATGAATAACCTAATATCTTTAGTTGGATCTTGAGCATCCAACAGAAGAAGCTGACTCATAATAGCATCAGCAACAAAATCATCAATCTGGTTTCCTAAGAACACAATCCTTTCCCTCAGCAATAGCCCCATGGCGTCGGCCTCAGCGCCGCGCATCGCGGTGGCCGGAGTCTGAGGAGCAGAGGATAAGAGGAGAGAGAGATTGCTGTATTCTTTGAGGTCGAAACCAACATTAGAGTTTGGGATTTTGGGGTTGGTGGATAAGGCGGGTTGGTAAGAAGAAAGTGAGGATTTGAGAGGTGGTGGATTATATGGGCGGGGAGAGAAAGTGGGTAGTTTGGAAAGAGGGTGTCGGAGTTTGAGAGATGTGGTGGAGGAGAGAGAGTGAGGGGAGAGGGCAGTCGAAAGAGTGAGTGAGTCCATCGTGGGGGTGGATTGAAGCGCGCACACACACGCAGACACAGAGAGAGAGAGAGAGAGAGAGAGAGAGAGAGAGAGAGCAACTGGGTTACTGATGGGAGTTGGAATAGAGGGCCATGGTCATGGCCACTGCAGGGTGAAAGTTTCTCACCAGCCCACATTCACATTAAATTCAAGCCTTGGATAAGGCCCAATTAGCCGACCCGTTAGCCCAGTATTATTACACACAGGGATACGATTATGGTTGTGTTTGGTCACAGGTTGTTTTCGTTTTTTTTTTTTTTTTTTTTTTTTGGGAAATTACATCAAAGCCCCCTAAGGTTTGTCACTAATACAGACGGACCCTCTCAAGTATAAAATATAACACCACCACCCCCTAAAGTTTGATATGATGTAACAAATAACCCCCTAGTGTTAAAGTTTGTCCAGAGGACCGTTAAATCTCAATGAGTTCAACCAATTCTTGTAACAAAATTCCTAAATTACCCCTGAAATATCCATCAATTAAATCACTAAATATATATCTGCAAAACCCAAAATTTTTGAATTTGTAGCAAAACCTCCACCACTCTGTGCAGCCACCACACCATCCACCCCCGCCGAAGTCCCAACTGCCAACTCCACCAACTGACAAATTCTGCCACTCTCTCTCTCTCTCTCTCTCTCTCTCTCACACAAAAACACCACACACGGGACACACTGGCGGGACCAAGCGATAAGGAAGAGGGTGTTGGGCAGGCGGGTGTGGTGATGTATTGATGGGTCTGGCTGGTCGGTGATATGGGTTTGATGGACGGTTTCGGTGATATGGCTGTTATGGTAGTGGCTTTGATGGTGGCTGTTATAGTGGTGGCTTTGATGGTGTCTGTAACAGAGAGAGAGAGAGAAGGGGTCGGTGGTGGGCAGTGGAAAGGGCGAAGGGAGAGGTTCTGTGTCGGTGGTAGACTGGTTTTATTTATTTTGAATAAGGGCAAAATAGTCCTAATATTTCCGTTAGATGGGTTAGTTGACCATGATAGGAGGTGTAATTGTAATATGTCATACCTGAGGGGATTTATGTGTTTTAGTGAAAAAGTTCAAAGGGTGTAAATGTAATTTATCCTCTTTTTTTTTAATTTTTACCAGAAAAACACTTTCGGAGCATGTTTTTTTTTAGCCAATTTGTTTTGTAAACGATCCCCGTTTTTGAAAAGACATATTTAGGTGCTTTCAAAAACAAGGGAAATCGAAAACATACGCACCCCTTGTCCCCAATTAACGAGGTCTCGTCTTCGAACCCTATTAACAACACAAAAGGTATTTTTTCGTTCCAATTATAAAAAGACTTTTTTAACCCTTTTTTGTTTCTCTCGTTCGTCTCTCTCTTGTGACGTCTACGTAGGAAAGCGTCATCGATCAACTCAGCCTAGCGAAGGAAGCTCTAACGAGAAACACTGATTTGTCAAATTTTTTATTCTTTCCATCTTCATCTCCATCGATCTCTTTCTCTCTTTGACCCCTCATTTGAATTAATATTTTTAAAGTCTGGGTTTGTTATATACATGGGTTGAGTAGTGTTGGTGGCTAAATAGGGGGGTGGTGGTGGGTTTTCGGTGATTTTGGTGGTGTGTTTTTAGGGGTTTTGATAGTGGATTTTCAAGGGTGTTGGTGGTGGGTTGGGTGGTGGCTAAGCGGAGGTAGTGGTGGTGGGTTTTCGGTGATTTTGGTGGTGGGTTGGGTGGTGGCTAGACAAGGGTGGTAGTGGTAGATTTTCGGTGATTTTGGTGGTGGGTAAATAGATGGGTTAGGTGGTGTTGGTGGTGACTAAACAGGGGTGGTGGTGCTGGATTTTTGGTGGTATTGGTGGTGGCGATGGTGGTTGGGTGGGGTGGGTGGAAATGTATTTGGCATTAAAAAATTAATCAAAATAATCACAATGAATTATGAAAACACTATTATAATACCAAACATAATTTTTTTTTTGTTTTCATAATTTTTTAAATATAAAATAATTACCAAACATGTTTTATATTTTTAATTTTCATCACAAAAAAAAATAATGAAAATGTTACCAAATGCAAACTATGTTATTGAAATTTTAGTTTTCGTAACATAGAAAAAAATAATTTTAACTGTTGATCCATAATCCAAAAAATAGTTATTACCAAGTAATGTTCATTTTAATATCCGGCTTGAACTATAATAAAATTGCATTTCTATACCAATGTGTAATTCTATGAAAGTAGGACAGTTATTCGCAGATATGTAATGGTGTTACCCTTACAACCACCACCACTCGACCACACTATCACTTTCAACCACCACCACCACCATTAGCCATTACTATGTAGGATTTACCTCCTCTTCCTATATGTAACACAACAGCAACAAAACCTTAGACAAACTTAACAGCAATTCAACCACCTAAATGCGATGACACCGATGGAAACATCTGTTTCACTAGCAAACAATGGAACAGTTCCTGTGTCCATGAGCTGTAGGAGTTCAAAAGAAATTAAACACAAAGTGAGGTCAAAGTTGGTGATAGAATTGGCCTGAATTTGCAGAACACAACCATGGCACAGTTACTTTCACTGGACCTCCTGATGGCTTTTTCATCCATAGCTCTTCTAGTGAAATCAATTCACAACATTTGTCCGAAGGGTGTTTGTTTGTTTTGAACAGAGGTAATCAAACAATAAAGCATAGCAAGAAGCAACCCTCATCAGATCAATGCTTTATAAAACAGCTAGAAAAGGGCAATAAATCTTCTCAGAACAAGAAAAGTAAATATAAATTCCTAACAAAAACATTGATAACCTAGCAGCTATTTCTTCCATATGTGAAGCTTAAAGATTTTCTTCCCCTTCTTGTGCGTCATCTGAAACTAGAAGATGATTAAGAGCAACCTTTGCCTTCTTCGATTCTGGCAAATTTTCCTTGATTTCACCTTCATCACCTTTCCTCTTGGCTGATTCATCTTTCTCTTTTTCAGCTTCTTCGTGCCTAGCCGCAGCAGCCTCACCATCAGAACCTTCTCCTTTTCCCTGTGACGACAATTTCAAATGAGCTGCTTCACCTTTATCTTTGCCATTCAAATCTCCTTTCTTGGATGCTGCTTCAGTTTCAACTAAAATTAAGCGGACTTCTTCACTGCTTGCAAGGTCAAGAGGGGTTTTCCCTGCTTTGGTCTTCGCATCCTTATTTGCACCTTTCTTCACCAAGTACTTGACAAGTTCCAGGTTGGACCCTTGAACAGCATAGTGAAGAGCGGTCATGCCCTTGCGATTGGAAGATTTGACAGAGACTCCGGATGAAAGGAGAATCCGAACAACTTCTAAATGACCTTTTTGAGCAGCAAAGTGTATCGCACCCATGTCATCCATGGCGGCAGCACCAACATCAGCCTTGTTCTTGCAGAGGTAACTCACTACTTGTGCCTGCCCTGACCATGCTGCTAGATGTAGTCTAGGATTCAGGGTCACTTAAATCAAGGAAGCAAACAACTAACAAAAAGAAAAAGCAAATTTGAAAAGAAAGCATGGGTGGCCAATTCGAATTCATTACCCTTTTAACTTTCATAGCGCCCAAAAGTTTCATATATACATATCATCAATAAAACAGCTGCTTCTTACCCCAAGTTCTCAAACTAAAACACTTTCATTTAACTATTGAACAAGCTATAAAGATTTCTAGGCAATGGACACATCCACAAAGCAAAGGCAAAGGAACAATGCGTTTCAAGCAAGACTCATGCAAAGGTCTGTATGACAACCAAGAGACTATCAAGCTAGCTGGACCTTCTTAGTTCTGAGAGAATCTGAGAATCAAGAGCAGAAAATGCAGAATTGCAGAGAAGGAAGAAGAAGAAATAGAGAGGAAGAAGATTCAAGAATTTGCTTCACACACTTTTATTCTCACAATCTGTTGTACAGGATATGATGATGCACAAATTAGTTTGCACACCACTAGTAAAGTTGTAGTATAAAATGCAGTAAGTAGAAGAAGAAAGAAGACAGGATTTATAGTGGTTCGGTCAATACGACCTACGTCCACTTTGAATGACTAGGTTTGCCGGAATTTTATTATCTCCGGTGTGGAGGGAGAGCAAATGATTACAAGCTTTGAGAGTGGATGAGAGAATTATGCTCAAATGAATCTGATGCTCCTCAAGTGTTGGGGGAACTTACAATTTATAGTGGCTTGGCATAGTAATTGTATGACTAGTCTGACGGTCATAATGGCTTAGGACCGTTTGATAGTAATTAGGTAGCTGATCTGGCGGAGGCGACCTATCATCTTCTCAATGGGCGAGGTGTGACGGTTGGTGTGCTCTCCAAAGGACTTGTTCAAGGATGAGGGAGGTTAACTCTCTCCAGGTTGTGAGGGTGAGACTTCTTGGATGACCTTTAATCCAAGGCGGTAGAAGAGACTCTTACTCCAAGGTGGTAGAGGAGGAGGCTCTTGGATGACCTTGCCTGCTTCTTGCTGATGTAGTAGCTCCTTGAGCCTGATGAGCTTGATCGGGTTGACCACATTGGGTTGAATTTGTCGGATCTCTTGGAGTCGGGCTATAAACTCAGACCGGACTTATAACACAAGTTGGGCCTTTGGGCTTGGCCCATCATTTGCCCCCCCCAATGCCCTGCGTGACGGAACTTGAAAAGGAGGGCATTCAGATTGAATTTGAGTTTTCACTGACCGGCATAACCGGAAAAACTTCGGGAGGCTGTGAGTTTTGTAGGGCTCACCAAGAACTTCGATTTGATATATTATAAGCCTCATTTCGAGTAACAGAGTAAAAGTTACGGTCAAAACTTCGAGCAGAGAGCTAAGCGAGCGGTTTGGGCGAGCAAGACACTATTTTGAGCGAGAAGCACTGTTCTAGGCGAGCAGTATTGATTTGGGAGAGCAAAAAAATTTTTTTTTTTTTTTTAAAAAACTTCAGGAGGCCAAAACACCTCTTTCTGGGTGTTTTTGGACTTTTTTTAAAAATCTCATTACCAAAGGTAATGAGTTTTGCTCAGCTCGTCGGGAGTTTCGATTTGGTATATAATAAGTCTTATTTTGAACTTTGGATCAAAAGTTTCAGTCAAAATAGCGTGCAGTGGCCGGGTGCAAGGCTTTGGGCAAGCA